AAAACCCAAACGTGAAGTTTCATACCATTCTTTGTGAGATAGGAAAAAAAAAATCACAATACCAGCACTTTTATTTAGGTTGACAGTAAACTAATCATAACTTGAAGTGTCCAAACAACCTCAATAACTCAATGGTCTAATGCAACTGGAAGAAATACTTTTCCTTCACTTTTACAGAAACTGAATTTATTGATATTAGTATCTAGTTTGTGAAAGTGGCAACTATTCAAGATCTAAAAGTCTCACTTATTTTAAACACATAGCCGAATTCTGACCATTTATAGTCAATGTAACTGTCTTGAGCCAAAATAACAATGAAAATGTAAGATAAATTTCAAAGGTTTTATAAGTATTAATGGCATTCCAAAACCTCTGGAAAGATTATTTGGCGGGGGGGGGGGAGTTTCTCTTCTCCTTTGACAGTTTAATCACTTTCCAATCAATTTTGATTTAACAGTGGTTCATGGGATTAATTTTTTAATGAGTTCTTAGAAAGTTGCAATTGCTTCCAAAATCAGAAACCACACTACACCAATGTAATGCTGTCATGGAGATGTTTACAGAAAGGTGCAGATAAGAGCTCAGAGGTGAACACAGGTTAACATACACTAGACTTCAAAATAATAATTTGTTTGTACAGTACGGCAAGACAAAATATTCTGTATAAGAAGTCTAAAAATCCAGCCCTAATTTTAATCCATTTCTATAAATCATAAAAACAAGGGAAAATAGGCATCTATTCCAGAAACTTCATATACCTGTGGAAAACGGAACACAAGTAAATTCTATTCGAGATTAACCTTAATCTCCAATAGAGGACAGCAAACAACCTACACATTTTAAATTTTGGAAATACTGTGAAAATCTAAGCCATTAGGCTCAATAGTAGTTTATGATCAGTAAACATTTCCTGTTAAATAACACAAATGAATTCAACCTAAAAGATGCAAACTGGTAGGTCACAGGGCTTTAAAACCCTTCCCTTTCAAAGGCGCAGTTACAGCACATGCATGTATAGGATGGGGTTTTAAAATGGGTATGCGTAAACTTTTCCATGGTGTTGGTGTATGTGCTTTTTTTCCCTTAAAGAAATGTCTCCTGCTTACAGTGTAAAAGAATCTCCACCACTCTGTCTGCAGTTTTCAACCAGAAGTCCTCAATGTACCTTAAGCCAAATTGAATATTAGGTATTTTACAGCTTTTACAAAATGGCTGTAAAATTCACATTATGGGCATACACAGCTCTTTGATCTCACTGCACAGAATTCATAGCTGTTCAATAATGCTATACCATTACACCACACACCTTAAACTATTCCCATTTTTCCACAATTCCTTCCAAAATCAGCTTCCAAAGCACAGCAATGTAACATGCAAAGTTCCTGGGAGGGCTTGTTACACAAAAGAACAGCTTGGATACAAACTGATCTTCACAATATCCATCTTCTGTTGGGCTTGCTTATCCCTCCTTTCCCTCCATCACTGCTAAAGGTGGGTGCATTTGAGTAATGGAAAGAGGAGACTCTTCCATCACCACACCCTCCCAGAACCTCTGCTTCTGGTCCTCATGCAGGGATTCTGTGTAGGTGATGAAAATCATCAGAAAAGAGAAGCTGTCCCTTTAAAATGCCCTGCTCTGTCCCATATCCCACGTGGAACCAACATCAGCAGCACTTTCCCATTAACTTCAATGTGATGCAAGAGGCACCATCCTTTTCTATACGTAAAACCAGAAAACCTCAGCTGAACATTCCTTCCTGAGGATGAGCACGTGAAGCAAACGTGTCAGGAAGGGATAAACCCAGCAACTGCCCACCCCACCCCAAAAGGTGCTCCAGTCTTGCACACCAGCCTCTGTGTGCAGCATCACCTCTCTACCCCTCCTCTGTAGAGCCTAGTCTGAAGAAACGAGGGAGCCACCAACAAAACCTGAAGCATAAATGCGACGAAAATGCCATCTAAAGCCGGAAAGGTTTATTCTTCCAATCACACATATTAACTCTATTAAGAAAATGGCATCACTTTTTTTTCCAACGGAGGGGGGGGGGAACCCCGCAACGATCATTAAAAGAGAGTTATAAAATAGCAAATATAGTGTTTATCTTATCTCAGATCAGTCCACATTACCAATAAGTTTAGCAGTTTCTGCACTACCACCTCCCCCCTCCCTCCCCCTCCTTCTCGAGCATCGGATTTTCACGTTTTCTCATTGTCGGTTGAGTTATAAAAGGCTTTTGCCCTTCGAAAGTTTTAAAAAATAAATAAATATTAACTCCTTGGTCCCTGCAAAGTCAAAATGGGCTTCAGGGGAAAGGCGGTTCATCCTTCTACCTTGAGCGAGAAAAGGGGGAGCATCCCGGATTTTTTGGGATTTTTTTGCGATTTTTAAAAAATTTTTATTTGGTTATATGCCTGAGTTCTCCCTCCATTTTGGTTGTTTATGATACTGACAACAAGCTGTCCCTGCTCTGTGCAGATCTCCTGCTTTCATTTACCACCCCTCCTCCCGCAGGCACACACCCCGGGCTCACACCTCCCCGTAGACCCCGCACCCCGACCCCGACTCGCCCACCTGAGGAAAGGGCAAAAACAAATCCGTTTCTCCAAAAAAGAAAAACCTCTTTTGAAAAAGGGGCAAAGTTCCCCCAAGTCACTCAAAGTGCCCCCCAAATATTGCCGACTGCGGGTTTCCGCCAGGCCCTTTGGGAAGCGACCTTCCCCCGGGATGTTTTGGTGGAAAATGCGGAGAGTTTACTCGTAAAACTGAATTTATATTAATTTTTCCCTTATTTTTCGGGTCTCTAATGTCTTCCGCTCTCGCTGCTGCCGCTGCCGCTGTCACAATATTCACAGCACCAGAGCGGAGGAGGAGGAGGAAAACTTTTCAAACTTTCCAGACCCTGAAGAAAGGGTTTTTTTTTTTTCCCACCGACCTCACCTTCGGGTCTCCAGCCGCATCGCCCCCTGCCCTGTCAGCAGCGACTCCGGGAGTCCTCGCACCCCCGCTGAATGATTTTATTTTATTTTTTATTATTATTTTTCTCTCTGGGGTCCTGAGCAGGGGCTGAGAGTAGCACAAACTTTTCCTCCTCCTGCCGCCGCCGCGGCTCCTCTGCCCCCTCGGCGAGTCCCATAATTTAAATAACCCTGATATTTCTCCCGCTAAACGCCTCTCCGCCGCCCCGGACCCCGGGAGAACTCACCGCGGGGCTTTAACATCCTCCCTCCGGCCCGTCCGCCGCCTTTACACCGCCCGCGGAATTTCTAATAATTTTTTTCTCATATTTCGGGCTGGACGCGGCGGGCCTGGAAATTGTTTCCTTACGCCTCTTTCCAGCAGCCATTGTAGTGTATGCGCTGCCCCTGCAGCCCAACTTGCAGCTGCCGCCGCCGCCGCCGCCGCCGCCGCCGACGTCGCGCCCACCGCTGCCTCCCCCGGCCCGCTCGGCCGCCGCCCCCGCCTCCCGCCGGCCCGCCCCCTGCCCCCGCCCGCCGCTGCGCCCGCCCCCCCCGCAAGCTCCGCCCCGGGGTCGACCACTGGACGCCGCCGCCGCCGCAGCTGGGCCCGCCGACTGGCCTGCCACGCCGCCCGTCAAGCCGAAGTGTTAAGAGGCGGGCCGCGGCGCGGGGGGGTCGCGCGGGGCGGGGCCGCGCGCGCCGCCCCGCCCACTCCTCCCGCCTCGGCCCTCCTCCCGCCGTCCGGGGGCGGGGCGAGGCCCGTCCGCCCCCGCCGCGCCAGGCCCCGCTCAGCTGTCAGTCAGGCGGCGGCGCGCCCCGATTGGGCCGGCGGCCGCCGGGGAGCGGGGGCAGCACGTTGGGATGCGCGCTACTTAAGGTCCCGCTGCGTGAGCCATTGACGTGTTTGGAGCTGGAGACGGCCTGGGCGCTGCTGGTGAAGCGGCGGCCCGAGGTGAGTAGTTCCCCGCCCTTCCCTCTGCGGCGGCTGCCGGGCTGCGGGAAGAGACTGGCGCGCCTGGGCCGCCGCGGGGCCCGCATCCGCTTCTCCGGCGTGACGCCGCTTCCACCAGGCCTCGCCTGGGCGCGGGCCCCTTCCCGTCACATCCTCCCCGCAACACGGGCCTTCTCGGGCCGGGGACGAGGAAGTTGCCCCCTGCCTGGGCACCCCCGGCCCTTCCTTCACCCTTCTTTCACCCTTTTTCCCAGCCTTTGGAGCGTAAATGCCTACCCGTGCCCCCAGTTCCCTGCGTTTTCCTCTCCCCCTGCTCTTCTGGGCGCCGTCGAAGGTGAAGGTCGGGGCAAGGTGGGTTCACCTGCGCCCGCCCTCGGGGGGCCGGGCAGCTCGTTGGAGGTAGCGGGGCCTGGGGCTCGCCTGGCTCCGGAGTCTCCGTTCGCCTTCCCCGCCCCCTCCGCAGGGCCACCGCTACTTCCTGACCCTGCCTGCCTGCACCCAGCCGTGGGTTAAAGGCTTGAGGGCCTCGCAGGACGTGTTTCAGCTTCCCGACGGTTGCCCTGCGGTGTGGGAGGGCCGCAACCCCTGCCTGGGCAAGGACCAGCACGGGAGGGGTGGGCTGGACGGGTCAGCAGCGTTCGCGTCCCCCTTCCCTTGCAGAGCTGCTCGGAGTGGCGACCTGAACCACTGGGTGGGAAATCAAGAAATACTTTTTAAAGCAGTTTGCCCTTTGGAAAAGATTTTAGGGCTATTCCTCAAACGTGCTGTGCTTTTGCGGCCCCTCTCTCAAATCGTTGTTTTCTTTCTGACTGTCCCCTGCAAGTAGAGCTTCGTCACGTTTGTTTGGTACCTTCAGAAACTAAGTAGATAAGGCCTCGCTGGCGGAACACTCGAACTTGACTTCAGCCCCGCTCCTCACTGTAAACTGACATTTCCTCTTCATTTCCAGTTGATAACATGAGGATTCATGCAAAGAAGGTGACAGTCGGAAATCCAAACTTAGATTGACTTGTATTTAGAATCCGGAAGGGAGAGGAAATGAAAGGTGGATACGCTCCTACAGCAGACCTGATTCGGTATATGTGATGTTACCTCGGTGTTATTTGTAAAGAATTCCTGACCCCTGACAATGATAAAATGCGAAGCAGAACACTTTCACAGGAGGCAGGCAACCTTTCTGTCTGCGTCTGATCGTTGTTGAGATTATATCCAAGGCATATGAACAGCTAAGCAGAGTTCTTTGCTCTCACAGCATAGGACAGATGTAGAAAGCAAGGCTGTGAATTTACTTAGTGCCCTCACCTCTCATAAGAAGAAGTGAAGGCTGCAAAGGAATTGTATTCAGGAGAGGAAGAAGCTTCTACATATAGTTGAACAGCATCTTGAATTTCCTTTTTGCTAAGATGTTTCTGCTAGCTAGGCATACTCATGTATTGGTCAGTGAAGATGATAAAATAGAAGGATTACTTAGTGGGTACTGAAAAGACCCCCGAACGATTAGACTTTTTTCCATCCTTCTTTGCAAAGGTTATCTCCTTTAGCCTGGACACCGTGATCTTTCTCTTAATAGAGAAACGGAACTAGTTGACTCAAGATTCAGAATACCTTCACTTTTCAGGAGCTGGTGGGGTTTGATTGTTTTTCCTGAATGTACTTTATTTCTTTTAACATGACTGATATGTTTTGATGATCCCATCTTGGGCAAGGAAAGTAGAAACCACTTTGTACAAAAATTCTGAGCTCTGTCTGGTTATACTGATGCAGTTTTTATTCAGTGGTGTTTTTGGTAAGTCATACTGCATTATTTGCTGGCTTCTCCTTTGACCTCTAGGTAAAAGACAGTTAAGCTAGAACACCATTCAGGAGTAAGTTCCTTAAACTTAGTGCAGAGCATTTAAAAATATTTGTGGGTGGCTTAATCGATAGTATGCCAATACGTTGAAATAAACAAAAAATTACCTTTTAGTAATTAAGAGTTAGTTGATTATTTTTTTTTAGTTTCCCTTGTAGTTCATTTCTATGACATGTCTTTGAAGATAATAGTATACCAATTTCAATTAACTTCATTATAGAGAGTAGTTGTCCTGGGATAGAGTCGACATACTTGTTATATGAGTATACGACTTGACTTGGAATCACTAATTGGCCCTTAGAGAACTGTGGTCATCTTTAATGGATAAAGGCTTCTTCAGAGCTGTATCTCTGTATACGGCTTTAGTTGGAAGATGAATGCTCTACGGTAGCATTCCCTGACTTCCTTCAACCCTGGGAAGTACCAGCTAAATAGAAGATGCCCCTGGAAGTTAAGTTTCAGATTTTCTTTTTTTAACTTTTCAGAATGTCAACTAAGTAATAACTTTGTTTTGTTTTTGTTTTTGGTATATCAGCCACCCCAGGGCCGGCCATGGAGTAGACATTCACGTACTTTAGTTAACAAATGTTTTTGCTAAAGTTGGGTTGTACTAAAGTATTCCACCCTTATTTTGTGTGCTAATCCATATATAATAAGGAAGTAATAGAGTGCATGCGGTATTCTTAGGCTTCATCAATACATTTAATTGCTTAACCTTTAGAAATAGGAGTAAACTAAAACCAAATTGTAGCTGAACTATCTTTCTTTCTGGACATTGTAATCAAATTTCAGTAGATGCACTTTAGGAATTTAAATAAGGCCTTTGTGCTGAGGCACAAGTCAGTGCAAAGGAGAATCACATCCAAGTCTTTACTCTGAAAATACAGAGGTTATATGAGTTCCCCACTGGATAATCATTATGGCAGAATTAACTTTTCAAGTACTTGTGGAGCTGATGAGATTTACTAGCTTATATTGTCATCCACTGTGTAACTCTTCCCCAACATCTGCCTGCAGGAAGAAGACAGGTAGGATGCCCGTGGTAGCTGGAAGGCTGAGAGATCCTGACATAAATCCTTGCTTGTTGGTAAGCCAGATCGCTTTTAATTGTCGCGAGTATTAAGTTGGAAAAACAGGCTTCTTCTGATTTTGTGGGCATCAGTTTTCTGCAGTTCTTAAATAAAGTTATTTCTGTACGAGAAATATTCCTGGCCTGTGTATCCTTATTTCACTAGAGCATTTTTAGATATTCATAATCTAGCTAACAAGGATTCATCTCTTTTAAGTTTCCCTAATTTGTATAACATCACTGTTATACTAGACAAGCATGTGTAACACAGAGGAAATTCTTGAGTCCAAACATGCAAAGATGGAACGTAGGTATTTTTAAACGGTCACTGAAATTTATGTTTTGATAGCAATGCCTTCATCATGTCCCTGAGACAGCCTGGCTGAGAATGAGGGTTGATAACTGAATTAGGCTATTTAAAGCCTGAAGGTTTTCACAAAGGTATCATGTAAACAAAACATTTTGTTGTAATGGTAAAGCTTTATTGGCATTTATTTGGTAAGATTTAGCGGTTCTTACTTGTGGCATTGTCACCCTTGAATAATGCAGTCGTTGGACTGGTGCTATGAAAATTATATTCCCGATCCTATATGCATTTTCCAAATATACACATTCATTAAATATTTGGCTTAGAAGATTAGCTTTGCTACACATATGAAATCTGTTTAACGGCTTTACTAAGTCTCTTTAGCTAGACCATGTTTCTTAGATCTGTGAAGCAAGTTACCTTCCCCTTTATTTAAAGCTTCCCTTTAGCTGGAGTCTCGGAATCATGCCTTTCACTTTGAAGTTTGTTCTCCAATCTACTTCCAGTTCAGACAGCTGAAATTTAACTCCCAAATGGCAGCTACCCTCCTTTGAACTCTTAGCCCTGTGTTGCTCCTTGTGGTTTTGAAGTGGTATTAATGATAACCTATTAAAATTGCTTGCATAATTGTGTACTTACTTGCGTAATGGAGCAAATGATAGCCAAACATACGTTGAGATGAATGTCGTTAAGTTACCTTGCAGACCAGTCATTAGCAACTTACTTAGGTTCTCAAAACCACCTTAACTCAAACATTCAAGTCCAAGCGAGAACTTGGAGGGGCGGAGAGCTGCCCTCCGAGTTGGGAGACTGAGTTTTGCTTCCACATACAGCAGTGATTCCCTCCCCGCTCCAGCCCGCCTTGTGTGGCTTGTGGGATCTTAGTTTCGAGACCAGGGATTGAACCCAGGCCCCGGCAGCGGAAGCAGCGAGCCCTAACCACTGAGCCGCCAGGGAACTCCTTGCACCGTGATCTTGAGCACGTTGCACCTTGCCTCGGCCTCTTCATTGAACGGTTACTGGGTTAAGTGATCTCAGTCAGTGCTTCGACTCAAATTCCTGTGATCAGGTGTTCAGAAAACTGACGCCACTGTGAAAAGGAAGATGTCTGCTTTGAGCAGAACGAATGCTGGGATAGTTGGAAAGATAATTCTGTTCCTGTTCATTATCTGTTCGTTCAAATGAACAAAAAGGAACTATTTCACATTACCTGCTCTGGGGGGGAAGCAGCTTCAGAAGTTTGTTTTTTTTCAGATGCCATTCCACCTCTTAAATGATACCTATCTTACCTATTTAAGGAATCTGATGCTTCTACCAGATGTATGGATGAATATAACTATGACAGAGAAAGGTGTTCCACTCACTTCTTGAAGTACAAAAACTGCCGGAAGTTCTGGGTAAGCCTAGTTTGGTTACCTTTATGTTGAAACTCATCTGTTCGGCTTGAATCTGAAGCCTGAAGTTTGTCAGCACCCACAATCCTTCCTTAGTGATGGCTGTCGGAAACGTACCTTTTTGACTTTATCCTCCGTGTGCCCTAAAGGATCCTTGGGCGCTCTCGTTAGCTGCCTCAACCCTCTGCCCACGTGTAAGGACGCAGCTCTGATAGAGGTGTGTCTTCCTACGTGCATAAGTGCCTGCGGCCCTAAAGTGATAGCCTTGTTACAATTGGAGTTTTCTGGAGGTGAGCGGAATAGGTGGCTCGCCCCGTCACAACACGCATCAGGCTTCCTTTTCTCTTCTTCCTCTCCCGCCATCACCCGTGGTCCCATTTTTGGCGGACGTTGCCATATAATTTCTGTTTCTCTGAGCACTGGATCCAGCTACTTCCTGTCCCTCTGCTAGCTTACCTGTTGGTTTCATTTGGCAGTTATTCCGTAGCTCCTCTCGATGGGCCTGAAGTTACAAAGTGTGTTCTCACCCCAGTTACAGTTAACATATTCCTGTGGGACTAATCACTTCCGTTTAATTGAGAATTGTCTGAAAACGGTACCTGGAGTCCTAGAGTTCATTCTTTGTTGTTGTTTTTACGTTTCCTCTGCAGACCACAGTAGCAGGTTACTGGCAAGTGATTAGCATTTAGTACTTGACTGATTTTGGTTTTTCTTTTTTGCACATACACACAGAATTCTGTCATGATCCAGAGAAGACGGGATGGAGTGAAGCCGTCTATGCCTGCAGCAGCAGAGAGAGACATAATCTTGCAAGCAATGGGCAAGATGCCCTATTGAGTGTTTGCATTAAAGTGGTTTATTTAACTCAGAAGCACATGAATACGTTTAATAAGTGGTTACGGTAACTTCTTAAGACCTTCCAGGCCTTACCCAGACAGATCTCAGATTCCACCAGGGGAAGCCCTGTGTCCTCTGTGTTTGCTCTCAGTGCCATAACAAGAGCAGGCCGCTCTGGCTGTGCCGTGTCACCGAGTTTACAAGACTTCCTGAAGGCAGGGGAGCGTCAGGGAAAGAGTCCATGAAGAGTCGAGCTTTTCCGCTGAGTTTCGAAAGAGAAGTAAGTCGGGAACGAGGAAGGACTTAATGGGGGCGAAAGGGAAGCAGTGCTTGTGATGTGAGTGACGACATGATGGAGGGAAAGCTGGAGCCACATCTGGAGAGCAGTGTGTAGACGGTTCCCCCTGGAGGGTGAGGTGGGGGACTGAGTGGTGGGGAGAAGACGGGAAGGTAAGTCCAGGGTGGCTGCGTGGTGGGCGTCTAACCCCAGTGTGTTAGATCCCTGCCCTGACTTCACTCACGTACCTCGGTTTAAAAAGGTTAGGGGAGCAGGGGAAAGGCAAGGTTGGCTGAAGTGTCATGAAAAAGAACTGGCTGTCTTCATTTTCTTTCTTTAAGGAAAGGCTTAGTCAAAGGATTCTATAAAATCTATGAATACCGGACAACCTTGTGAAGGCGTAGTATCCTTGAACCACAGTAATGGAAAGAAAAGGTGATACTTTCAGAAGTAGGATCTCTGCTTGCAGGGTGAGGTGGACCAGGGGAGTCTGGGGCTCATCAAGTGAGTGCAGCACCGGGTGAGGCCGGAGCTCAGCTTCATTTAATGATACGAAAGCAGGAACGTTCAGCATAGTGACCGGGTGGATTGTGGAGCAGCCCTCAGACTCACCGCCTTTTAAAATCCAGTTTGTTTCATTTACAGAATTGTAAAAGATACATTATTTGATAAAATTTAATGTACTTATAAAGTCAGCAAAAACAAATCGTTTGTGTCCCTTGTTTTCATCTGGTCCTGGAGCAAGAGTAGTGTTTTAACGGATCCTGACAACAGACTATCCTTCTCGTTGGTCTGAATCCAAAACCCAGGTCAGATGGTTTTAAGCCATATGATCTTGATTTCCAAATGTGATTCTATTTGAATAAAAGATGGATTCTTTCAGAAATTCTTTGATTTGTACTGATTGCTCTAAAATGATGGGTTAAAATAGGAGCTGACAAGAAACTAATACATACTGTGTAAGAAGCATTTCAGTACTTTTAAGCTTGTTCAAGGGTTTGGAATTTTAATGTCACCCTTTTAAAGGTACATACCAACAGCAGCATTCATCCGGTAGCTATTTGTCCTGGCCTAGCTCTTTTTTTTTTTTTTTTAACAGCAGGTTCATTGAGATGCAGTTTGTAAACCGTATAAGCTGTCTATTTAAAGTGTACAATGTGATGGCTTTCAGTGTACTGACAAAGTTGTGCAGCTGTCCCCACAATGGATTTTAGGGGGCATCACCCCAGAAAGCAAGCCTGTACCTGTTAGCACACAGTTCCTTTCCTCCTAACACCACCCTTCCTCCACTTCCCCAGCACGTAGGCAACCGCCAACGTACCTTCTGTCTCTAGAATTGCCTGTTCTGGACATTTCCAGAAATGGAGCCATGCAACATGTGGTCTTTGGTGGCTGGCTTCTTTCACTTAGCCTCATGTTTTCAAGGTCCGTTCCTGTTGCGTGTATCAGCACTTCATTCCCTTTCACTGCTGAGTAACCTTCGATTGTATGGCTGCACCACCTTTTATTTACACACTCATCGGTTGATTGGTATTTGGGTTGTTTGCACTATTGGCTGTTTGATGAGTCACGTTGCTTCTTGAACTTCTGTGCACGAGGTTTTGCATGGACGTTAATTTCTTTCTGGATGTATACCTAGCAGTTGAATTGCTGGGTCATACGGTAACTGTGTTTAGCCTTTTGAGGAACCAGCAAAGTGTTTTCCAAAGCGGCAGCACCATTTTGCAATGTATCAGAGTTCCAGTTTCTCCACATCCTCATTAACCCTTATTATCTGCCTTTGGTCACAGCCATTCTCGTGGGCGTGAGCTGGGGTCTCACCGTGGTTTTGATTTGCGTTTCCCTGATGCCCAACGATGCCGAGCATCTTCGCTTGCGTGTTGGCCACTTGTATATCTTCTTTGGAGAAATGTTCTTCCGGGTCCTTTGCTCATTTTTAAATTAGGTTGTGTATCTTTATTACTGAGTTGTCAGAGTCCCTTACATACTAGATACAAGTCCCTTATAAGATACATGGTTTGTGAATTTTATCTCCCATTCTGTGTGGGTTGTATTTTCACCTCGTGGTGTCCTTTGAGACACAAAAGCTTTTAATTTTGATGAAGTCCAATTCATCTTTCGTTGTAGCCTTCGGTGACATATCTAAGAAAAGGTCCAAAGGTTTACATCTACGTTTTTTCTAAGAGTTTTATGGTTTTAGCTTTTATGTTTAGGTTTTTGATCCATTTTGAGTTAATTTTTGAATGTGGTGTGAGGTAGGGGTCCAGCTTCATTCTGTTGCACACGTGGCTGCCCCGCCTGTCGTCCCTGCCTCTTTTGTTGAAAAGCCTGTGGTTTCTCCTGAATTGTCTTGGCACCTTTGTGGCACAGCAGCTGATGGTGTTTGTGAAAGTGTTTCTGGACCTCAGTTGTGTCCCACTGATCCCTGTGTTGATGTCTGTGCCAGTCGTGCACTGTCCTGATCACTGTAGTTTTGTAGTGATGGTGCAGCCCCTCGATGATTGGTATCTATAGGTGTGTTTTCTATGAAGTACTTTTGAAGACAGACTAACTGGGGATTTCTGATCAGCAAACTCTTAACATATGTGAGCATATGGCTCTACCCAGGTTCTACCCAGGCAACACTGTTCAGTTCTAACTTTGTCTTCAGTAGTTTGCTAACTTCTTGTTTACACCTTTGCACACACCCTGCTGACTTTGGGACACTATTCTTGTAACCTGGTTGTTAGAGATCTTGTTGCACCACTTGAAGGGACAGAGTCCCAGGGGTTTCCCTCGTCATCACTGTTAAATTTGCCACTCTTTTAATTTCTCTTTCTACGATTCTACTTTGGGAGAGGTGAAGCTAATAAATTAATTGTGTCAGGACGTGAGTAGGTGCCTAGAGAAATTTGGGAGGCAGGCAGGCCTTTGGAAGCAACTGTCGACTAACAAGATGCATAGAAGGTATTTTACCGTTCTCCCGTGCATCTCACGCTGGTAGGAAGCGTCTCATCGCAGGTTCCATGTGTGTGTGGTATGCAAAAGCAGTCCTCTTGAGAATCACTGTATCTATCTGAAAGCTCCTGGAGGATGCAGCAGTGTCATTTGTGGTTCTGCCCATAACACCTGGCAAGCGTCTAGTACGTAATAAAGGATCAAAGCTGTGTATGTGTTTGCGGAGGGAAGGCTTTTAAAATTGAACACAATGAAAAATTTGCAGGTTCGGGGCTTCCCTGGGGGAGTAGTGTTAGGAGTCCTCCTGCCAGCGCAGGGGACACAGGTTCGAGCCCTGGTCCGGGAAGATCCCACATGCCGCGGAGCAACTAAGCCCGTGTGCCACAACTACTGAGCCTGTGCTCTAGAGCCCGCGAGCCACAACTACTGAGCCCACGGGCCACAACTACTGAGCCCGCGTGCCACAACTACTGAGACTATGCTCTAGAGCCGGCGAACCACAACTGCTGAGCCCGCATGCCACAACTACTGAGCCTGCACGCCTAGAGCCCGTTCTCTGCAACAAGAGAAGCCACCACAATGAGAGGCCTGCGCCCCGCAACCAAGAGTAGCCCCCGCTTGCCACAACTAGAGAAAGCCCACGCGCAGCAACGAAGACCCAACGCAGCCGAAAATAAATAAATAAATTGATTTAAAAAAAAATAAAAAGGAAAAACACGCAGGTTCAAGCAATGCCAACGGGTTTACAGTGTAAATAAATCTGCCCAGGAGCAGCCAACGTCAAGGGTTTTCACGGTTTTATATGTATGCACGAGCATATCTGTATATTTGTTTATTTGTTTTGCACAAAAGGCACATCATAGTACACGAGTGGAGGCCCTCTGCTTTTCTCACTTAGCAAGATAGTATGGAACAATTCCCCATGCGTGGTTACAGATTTACTCTAGTTCTTTCATTGTGCAGGTACACCGTCCTGGAACCAGTCTCCCACTGAGGGGTCCCCTCTTAGGAACGAGGCGACAGCTGCGGTTCTTTGCTTGTTCCGTTTTTATGTGTACGCTACGTGTGTAGGAGTGGAAGGTTTCAGTAGTTTGCATCGTGTAGATGTTGCTAAACCCCCTCCCACAGGAAGCATACTCCCACTCCCAGAAGCAAAGCCTGAGAGTTTTCGTTCCTCACGCCCTCAGTCCCACTGGGCACTTTAAAACTTTCATCCTTGTGAGTTGATGAGTGAAAAATGGAATGGGCGTATTTATTTCCTTTGCTCATTTTTTTTTTTTAGATTGTTGGTGTGAGCAATTTGGGGAACTCTTGGTATAGTAAGGGAATTACCTCTTTGTCAAATATATTCTGTATATTTCTCCCAGTTTGTCTTTTAACTTTGTGTTTTCATTTCTGAGCAGTGTTTTACATTTTAAGGTAATTAAGTAGATCAGTCTTTTTGCCTGTGGTTTCTGGTGGTCAATAAACACTAAATGAATCCAAGTACAAGCACTGCACTTGCAGTTCACTTCTGCTCAGCAAACATCCGCCAGGTGCCCGCAACGTGCAAAGCGCTGGGGTAAGCGTGCGGGAGGAGCCGGGCACCGCCAGCCGCAGGGGACTTCAGGATGCTCCCGGAAGCGGCCAGGGCAAGCTTCCCAGAGGGTGAGTGGCCTCGACAGACACGAAGGGGCACGTCCTGTTCACTGACTAGAGCAGAGTAGGTGAAGGGGATGCGGCAGGGGCTCTGGACAGGTGGGCTGGGCTCACGTTGTGTGTGGCCCTGAATGCTGTTCCCGGGACTTAAACTTCCCTCTGTACAGAAAGAAAAGCTCTGC